GGTGTGAATTTCTTAACACAATCAAAGCCGTAATGAACACTTTTAAGAAAGTTCTTGATGAGTAGTAGGTGTTGGTTGGTTAAAATTTATATTAAATTCTTAAGGGAATCACTGTTTCGTGAAGACTGGAGAGGTACAATAACTTAATATCTCCACAGATTTAGTTATAAAAATATTTTTTATTTACTTTTTGGTTTCTAAGAAAAATAAAAATAATAAACGTAATCGTTGAATAGCATTAAATTATTATATTTAATTGATTTTTAACGTCCCTTTTGACGAAAGAAACTAAATTCTTAATATAAACTATTGTTTTCAAAAGAGAGGTATTTGGAACAGTGTTTAATTACAAAAATAAAATTTTATTATTTTATTAATTAATTGAATTTTTGACCGACAATTAAATTATTATTAGAATATTCCACTTTTGCATTAAATATAAATTAGAGTCATAGTAATGTATAGTCTATGTAGTAAAGTCCTTTCGCCAGTATACTAAACATCTACATATAACTGAAAACTATTAAAAATATTGCGACTGAAACTTATACTATATGCCACTCTACTTGTCAAATGTAAACTATAAGATCTTATTCAGTTCAAGTTTTCAGGGACCGTTTAATACCGTTTTTTGTCTAATATTAAGTATCGTACTTTCTTTTGAAGAAGAATTTTTTTTTAAGAATTTTAATGCTTTGTGAACTTCTGTTCAATAGAAATTGATTAATTTCTTCTAAAGAAATATTTATAATAATTAAACAGATTTATGTGATCTAAATTCGAAAGAAATTCAAAAAAGTCTGAAGCTACCGAAATTCCAAAAAGACTAATTTGTTGTCAACTGATATTAGACATCAACTGATAAATATGCAAGCAGACATATCTATATGCAGGAGATTAGATAGATACGCAATCAAACAAGTCTAATCACATTCTTTATAACTGTCCGACTTTGAACTTGACCGCACTGATAGGTCTGGAGAACTCTAAACTCACCCAAAGTTAAAGTGTCTTCAATAATTGACATTTCGGTTTTCATTCGAGAGACGAAGTGCCTTCTGTACAATCCACATTGATAACCAACACAAGGAATCAATGATAATCGTAGTGTTCTGCTTGCTGAAAATCAGTTTCTCATTGATTGTCTATTCCATTCTATTATTATAAAAGGTATGAAGTGTCAGCATCACGTCTATTATGTCATAGCTATGAATTGAACTTGAAACAGTTATTGATTATAACATCATAATTTTTTGGTACTTCTAGTACTTTTAGAAATTTACTTGGGATTATTACTACCACTTTATCACTACCACATTATTAGTTACCACTTTCAGACTTCTTGTCTGCTTAGCTCAACGAAACTCAGTTAATTAATTGAAGTGGAGGGAGGAACAAATCCTCCTCAGTTAATTAAGAAATTCGTTTTGCACAATCCACAATTCCTAGTAATAGTGAGTAGAATAAAGTCGAACTAGAACCAGCCAGAAGCATTTAAAGAGGCGAGAGTCTGGCTAATGTTAATACTGGTGATAGCTCCAGTATTACACAAAACTCAGTGTCAATTCAAATTCATTCCAGATGATTTACAATGCTTCAAGTTCCTACAAAGCTCAGTTTTGAGAATATAGAGAAGACCTTCGATAACATATTCAGGATTTATACATTTTTCTTTAGTATAATATAAAATTGACCTAAAATATATTGTCAAATAATAATCAACCGATATTTTGTGACTACTATATAAAAACGTACTACTTATTTCACTACCAAAAAAGACGCTTTATCGTTGCCTAAATGCTTAAGTACTGAATCAATTTTCTATGGTATGGCAAAAATATAATGCATATATTACATATCTTAGACTGGAAATAAATTTTTCTGGTCTACATATATTGTGATAATATATTGTTAAATAGAATCTACTATTAGCTCTTTTTCTAAAAATCTAATTTTTCAAATATATTATTACACCAATAAATAAACAAAAATAAACCTTTTAAATTTATTAGTAAAATCTGTTCCAAAATTAAAAAAATTGATCGTATATAATATATACATGACATAGTATACATCTATACTATGCTATATATTATATTGAGTTATTCACCTTAATATGTTTGAGCAGTATTCATTTACATGTATTTAATTGTTTTAATTATAAGTTTTATTTATAAATCTTTATTTTGATTTAAAAAACTATTTATTATTTAACATTGACCAATTAGTCGATTCAAAAATATATTTACAAATATTTAAACAGTTCCTATGCTGGAATTAGGAGTTTGGATGAACCAAAATTAGGCAAATAAAAATATTGCTTTTATTTCAATTTCAACCCAAAAAGTATGCTATAACTTTTTCAATTTCAATGTAATCGTTTCCTATAAAGTATTTTATAGCAACAGATTTTTAATATTAGTTGAAGCTCATATTTATGTACATAAATATATACAGCATATAAATTATATTAAGCAAAATAAAAAAAAAACTAATTTCCAAATATTAGCCAAATAATTAAGAGATTAATTTTAAAATATAATTTCAAAAAATATAAAAATGAAAACATTTTTTCATTTATACTATAAAATGTTGTCCCAAAAAAAATATGAATTAACATTTATTTCAAAATTCACAAATGTTTAATATATATTTGGAAATAAAAAAGACACTTTATGAATAAAAAGATTATTAATATAATATGAAATAAATAATTTTAACTCATTTCTTAAAAAAAAAAAAAATTCAATAATGTGAAAAATAACTATAAAAATTATGTAAAAAAAATTCATAAAAACTCAAAATTAATTAAGTTATAAACATAAATTATATAATTATGAATAATATATATAACTTTTTTTATTTGACATTTATTATTTATAATTTATTCATTCAAACAAAGTTCTGTTGTCAATTTATGCTTGAATGAAACTAATTAGCCATAAATGCGTTAATAATTAATATTGGTTTATGCACATTAATACTGAAATATTCATCCTCTGAAAAAGCTAGTAAGTGAAATAATAATAAAAACTTGTTTAATTTTGTTCAATTTAATTTTATTTGTTTTAAATTTATGCAATTTTAGTAATTAAAATGAAATGATTAAACCAAATTGAAACGTGAGTACACGTGCTGTCAGTAAATAAGAAATAATTTTTTAAAGCGACATATTTTGTTTAAATTTATATTAAATTTATACAAATAAAATGCAATAATTAAATAATACAATACATATAATAATATATAATAAATAATACATAATAAATAATATAATATAAATAATGTAATAAATATATAAAACAAAAATATTATTATTTTTAATTTTCATAACTCTTATAAGAATTCATTGTTTAATATTTCTTTATTTTAAATATTTATATTATATCCAATTTCTAGACATCAACCAGAATCGTTAAATAATAAAGCAGTATTCACTAGAAAGGTTTTTCATTCAGTACTTAATAAACGAAGTGTAAAAAGGGTGTTTCATCGGCTTTACTGTTAAAAGATTTTTTATTTGTGTTGGCGTCCAAACCTCTCGTCGCCCAATTGTCATATAGGAGTTCCGTCAGCCTTATGGGCCCATATACAGCTTAGTGGTTATGAGACAAGCCCTCAGTACATTGTCAGTTCTTTCAGGCATTTTGAAAGCTCCTGCCTAGCGGCCACTTCCAACCCACATGTGCGATACCCGAACAACAGTGATGACTGTTCACTGGAAGTTTTTTTCAACAACAAAAAACACCAAACATAACTTAAATAAGATATAGCAAACCTTCCTCAATTGGCTAATCAAAATGGAAATCAAAAATATTGCAACACATTTTCTCTCTTGGGTGCCAAGTCAATTATAGATACACCCTAAAAATCCTAATGTCACAATCGATACCTAATTTATATCAACTTAACTATATCCAAACATATAGTTTCATTTGGTATTGACGAATTCCTTGGATTTCCAATGGGACGTTTATCAGCGCCTTTGCCACAGCTAATCACGTTAAATTACTCTGAACTTCTGTCACCATCGATAGTGTTGGACAACTTTGATTACAAGATAACCTACAGAAACAAATCTGTTAGCTAATAACCAAGAGGTGCGATTTCATTTCACTCATCATAAAAGATTAAGATTTATTCAATAAAATTTACATAAGACTTTAAGATACTCCTAATGTACTAAAAAGTCGCCCTCCTATTTAGACGCTATAAAGTGAACCCATTATAATACAACAGTTTTTATCCATATGAGCTATTGTATAGAACTTCTTGTAAAGATAATCTATTTTGAGCTGGTAAATCGTTATTGATTCAAAAAGAAAAATAAGCTACCGTATTCATATGTACTCTTGCGACTTCTGAGTGAATATAAGCTTTCTTAATAGTGACATGCAGTGACATGTATGTAAATGGAATTCTTCCTTCTTCTGCTCTGCTACACAACAACTATAAAAGCCATTGAAAGGAGTCTTGAAATGGTCAAAAAAGTCACTTGAACTTTTCTCTGTTAGTCCGGTAATATTAGGACTTCGAATTAGAATAGGAAACATTTCACAATGATAGTCCTAAGATTCTAACAGACAGTAGTGTACAATATTCCATCATATTATAATATACACCATGTCCATATATACATATATGACGACTATATAAATATATATCTGGACGCGTGTATTTATAGCTATATAGTGGAAAAAATCCCGTTCTTAAATATAATTTTTCACCACTGTTACTTCAACAAATTGAGAGTTGACTTCTAAACAATATTATATCTTTTTTATACAATTTAATCACAATAAAAATATATTAATTTAAAAATTCAAACTATTAAAAACCTTCGTTGATCGAATTATCAAGGCATCCTTCTATCTCGAGATGCCATAGAGTTAGCATCTTATAGTAGAATATATGTTAGAAGAGTTAACTTCTAAACAATAATATGTCTTATTTATAAACTTTATATTTTATTAAATAAATTAAGTCACAATAAAAATATTTTAATTTAAAAAATTCAAACTTTTCAAAACTTTCATTGATCTACTCATCAAGGTATCCTTATATCTCCAGATACTATCATCTATCACTGTGTCATTTAACGTTGCTTTCAAATCGGGCTCACGGTAATGTTGTATATGTGCATACTTTTTGTCAATTGCTAGTTGGAAGCAACTTTGCAAGTATTTCCTTGAATAATGATTGTGCAGACTAACAACAAAATCGGTGTTATGAAAGCATTTGACGGCATGTCCCTCCTTCGTATAATTTGATACACGTATTACGTGTTGCAACATATAGAAATAAGGTGGAACCTCCTCTGAATATGGAGGTTTTCCCTCGAATCTGGGAAAGTATACATTACGAAAACAATAACTTGCAAAATTTGTACATTTTGGATCTTTGATACTTTTAGCAACTTCCAAAAGTTCATGCCAGTTTATCAATTTTCCAAGTGGCATAATAATCTCATCTACATCTATAAGAGCTAGATAATTATATTTGTACATATTTCTGTAGAGACAGTCATTGTAGGCGATCAGCTCATTTGTGCGCTTATTAAGTATATCCTTTATGATGGTGACGTTCTGGAAACTAGCAAATGGTGGCTCACCGCGAGCATAGGTAAATGGACTTAATTGCACAAAACCTGTGCTTTCGTAATGGTTCAACACTTTCTCAACATTCGCATGTAGTTGTAACTTATACATGAACACTTTCTCGACACCTAACAAACGCAACAGTTCCAGCCACTCAACCAAGCGTGCTGACATATCCACATATGAGTAGAATGTGCTTTTAACACAAACCGCAAAACTCGATTTAACCGCTTTACCTTCACTATAGGCCAATGGTTCTTCATAGATAATGCGTACGTTATTGGTAGCCATATCACATTTTTCTGCTACCAATGACACTCTCTTAGGTATTCGCTCTATTATATTTGTATCACTAATAAAGAACTTGGGTGCTTGACAATTCATTAAATACGGATATAAATGACGCGGTTTATTACCCCAAGCTCCAACCCATATCGAATCGTAGGTCTTCACTTCGACTATTTCCGGTTCATCGGTGTCATCATACCACAGTTGACAATAGCTTTTATAAAAAGGTCTGTCGATTTGATTAACCATAACCAATACTCGCACTAGTGGTCCCTCCACTACAGCTTCTCTACTATCCCAGTATGCACCAAATACTTTAAATGTCAAATTTTTATTTGTATATCCTTGCCAATAGGTGTTGTGATATTCTATATCCAACAGTGTTGGCGATTGAGCACAAATTTTTGTGTTAGTTATATTAGTTCTATTCTGTTCAGTGTTTTGGTAAAGCCATTCAATGGGCAGCATAAGGAATTTTTTTTTAATTCTTTCCAGTATTTCTCCATTACTGGGATCTGAAAGAATATGCTATTAAACAATACCAAAATATTTGTTGCAATTATATATTATATATATTTGTTTTCTTACATGGTCTTGTATCCAATTTCAAATTTTTTGCATACATATATGCCGTATTGCTGCTCATTAATGTATTTAAATTAATTACTAAAATTACAATTAAATTAACGAATACTAAAAATCCCAAACTGACATAAAATTTTTTATTTAACATTTTTTTAGCGATTTCAAATAAAATAAAATTGCTGATATCCTAAAAAGAGTGCAGCGACCGTCTTTGCCAATTGCTAATTAAATACTTATAATTCAGTAGTTCTGCAATTGCTTAAAACCCCAAAAGTAATCTAAACCAACATAAATTTGTCATTTTAAAACTGAACATTCTTATAAACCCACAGAATACCTTCAGTCCATAATTATTGAAATAGAGACGTAGCAAGTAACTTTCCCTAATTTGCACAGGTGTTTCGGGTTGTAAGTTATTTTCAGGCAGATACCATTCACATTCAATAAGTTATGCTTCTTCAAATTATACAATATATATTTTTTACTTAAGATATTATTTGAAATTATTGCAATTTTTTTCACAAAACAAAAAAAAACAAAACTCATTAAGCAATTGTTTTCCCCTCTACCATCCGGTTATGAATACGGATACGAGTATGACTTCAAGTCCCAATCATCAAAACGTCATCAATTAATAAGCAAATTTTTATACTACGTCATACATTCAACATATTTCATATGAATAATTTCTATTTTTATAAACATTTATTTAAGTAGAAATTTATTTAACTACAAACACACTTAACTGAAATACCAGTTAGGAAGAATAAAAGAGTATGACTTTTAGTCTCAATCATCAAAACGTCATCAAATAATTTGAAGTTCAGTTCAAAATAATGAAATAGTATTTTATTTGGAAACACAATTTTGTGTATATTAGTGATCCCGAAAATTATTCTGAATATTGAATAAATATTAGACGAATTCGAATAGCAAAGAAAAGACAGGAACAAAAATTGAATTAATTTATTGAAAGTTGGTTGACCGTACAACGATGTTTTGACGGACTCTCCGAATAAAAGAATTAGATAAAAGCTTACTAACATAACATCGATAGTGCAGCATTCATTAGCCACATTAGCCCATATTTAATAAATGATTTTCATAAACCTTCACCTATAAGGGATCTCTCATAAGAACTTTTCCATGAGCAATTTTCCAAAACGAATCTCCGATAACATAAAAACGCAATGCCGATATGCAGCTACAGTATGATGTTGAGCAGTAACCATAAGTCAAGATTATTTTTTTTCATTAAAAACTAGTGGCATGAGTTTGCCCAACAGTCTGTATGGCGATCAAAAGAGCCCAATTGTACCAATCCAATCCAGTCTAATCACTTTTAATTACACAAAGCCCTCTAAAGCTTTGTGAACAAAATCCCGAATTAAGTCTGGAGAAAAGCTCCAACAAGTTTCTTCTGTGCGCTGTTAAAGCTGGACAGTCACAAAGCGCAAATCAGTGAATTTTTCTAACACAGTGGAATTTGCGATTGGTACTGTTACTTAAACCAGGAAAACTACCTGACCAAACATCACCATATATGCTGCTATGCATGTTGAACACAATAGAGAAGTTTCTCGAACCTGAAAGATAGTACGGTTTCTATGACTATGACACAGACAAAGCAAGAAAATAGTATCGGGTCTCTGGCGGGATTCCATAAGGATCAGTTTTTAGACTTACACTGTCATTCCACTAGTGGTGATAGGCAAAAACTTTACTATTTAGAAGTAAAATAGATTGACGTAGCAGCAAGAACACGACGATAGCTTAAAATTGCAGGATTGGATTTGGTGATTCAAAAAACAGATGCGGTACTGATAACCACAAAAAAAGCAAAAGAAGATGAAATTTATAATTAGTGGGCTTAAAATATATCACAAGAAGCAAAAAATACCTTAGAGTCATGATCGATGTAAGACAGAGCTTCAAATTATGATTTTAGTCGTTACTTAGAATTGTACAAAATCAGAGCGATACTTACATTAAGGAAATTATTTTTTATTCACCACACAAGCTATATAAAGAGACAATGTTTTCGTTTTAAATGAAATCAATATTTTGATGTAATTTGAACATGAATTTTGATGTGACGGTTTCTAAAGAAAGTTCAATTCATAAAAAACTCTCATAGACCGTTTGAATAAATTTTTATGAAATCGCAAAATATTATCATCCAATATCGTTAAATTCATTGTACGCTGGTCTACTGGGTCCCGATAATGTTGTAATTGAGCGAGAGTGGAATTTATGTGCAGTGGACCACAACCCAACCATTTGAAGCAATAATGATGGTGTAGCATTATAGCATAATTTGTATTATGTAAACATTTTGTTCCCAAACCAACGTCCAAGTGTTTTTCGACTCTCCGAACATGTTGTAGCATATGAAAGTATTTCGGAATAATTAAATCAGTTCCCTCTTTTTCATAATTTGGAAAATAAATGTTTTGAAAGCATAGACTCACATGAGTTTGGCAACCTGGACGTTTATGCTCTTCAGCATATTCAACAATATCATACCATGATGTCCAATTACCCAGTGGCATGATTACTTCATCCAAATCAATACAAGCCACATAATCATATTTATATAAATTTCTATAAAAACAATCGTTGTATGGCAACAGTTCGTTCAACACCTTATTAAGATAGTGATGCTTCATAATATAACGCATAATATAAGGAAACACAGGTTCACCACGTGCATAGGAATGAGGATATACCCTTAAGAAACCTTGTTCCTTATAATAATCTATTACTTTGGTAACATTCGGATGTACTGTTATTGAGTAAGCAATTACTTCTTGAGCACCAAGTATGCGCATCATTTCCATCCATTCTACCAAGCGTGCGGATATATCAACAAATGGAAACACCAAATTCTTCAAACAAACAGCAAAACCACCTTTCGTGATATTTCGTGTTGGTGATTCATATATAACTTTCAAGTGATTTGTAGCTCTTTCGCATTCCTCAGCAACAATGGATACACTTTGTGGTACTTCAGAAACCTTATTCCTTGGTAGCACACATGTTATCAAAAATGGATACAAAACATTTGGATTACCACCCCAATACTTAAACCAAATTGGAAAGTATTTTGTTATGGGCACAATAAAAGGTTCCTTTTGCTTTTCATACCACAACTGGCAGTAACTTGTGGGAAATTTCTCTTCAATTTGATTCACCATCGCCAAAACTCGTATTACTGGATGATCTGGAAAGGCAGTTCGATTGTCATAGTATGCTCCGAACAGTTCAAAAGTCACATTTAAATTTTCAAATTCCTGATAAAAATTATTATGAAACTTTATATGCAAAATATTGGGATATTGAGCGCAGGTAGAATTTATGCCATAACCCTTATCTTTATTTTGTATATAAAGTTGAAACGGCAAATTGTGCAGTTCTTGATCAACACCTTCAATCATTTGCTCGATTGTGGGCTCTAAATAAAATTCATTAAAAATTCTCATCTTATCAAATGTCGAGTTTTTTATTTACCTCGCACTAGGGTATCCAATTTCAAATGTTCCGGATATATGGGATTAGAAATACTATCCACATACCAGGCGATTGAGAAAATAAAAAGTTCCACTAGAATGACGACTGCCAAAATATAAAAACAGCGCTGAGGAAACATTTTGTTTAAATAAACTTAATCAAATAGTATATGCAAAATAAATTTTAAGTCCACTGTTAATTTAAAACCTTTTGGCTACATAGCAAATATAATTGACGAGAAATTTTTAAAATAAACACAACTAAAATGTAAAAGTTTCTTAATTAAAAATATTACTACTATTAAAAAATAACAAAATGTTATAAAAATCAATGCTTTTTTGATGCTATCATAAACAAAGTATGGAGTATTTAGAAGGGATGACGGTATACTGCAACTTATCGACCAAAGCACTTATAGAGAGAGTCTCTGAAATGAACTTGTTTAATTTTACAGCTATCAACATCTCTAACTATATCTTTAATTCCTACACATCGAATCTTATTGGGTTCAATGAAAGCTGAAATGAGCTAATGTACAAAACTTTCTTTCTACATTTCACAAAATATCTGAGTATTAAATCTATATTGGCCTTAAAAACACAAAAAAATTAAGATAATGTTCTATAGACTATGTCTACGGCGAGACATTGAATCAGCTTAAGCTCGTTCGAAGTGTTTTAACGAAAATTACTGATGTGAAGATTGCTGTCTCTAAAAACTGCATATTTCTTCTGTTTCAAATTCATAAGCTCTTCCCTTACGACGAATATTCTTACTACATACATCATCCAAGTTATTATTTAGTTTTTTTTGGAGACGCTTACTTGCTAGCCCTGTTCTGTCTAATTGTTATATGAACAGAATACTTTCGATGAAACAATATTGTGGAATATAACACAATGACTACAAATTGTGCTGTAGTAATGTTCTATGTCTCACTAGGACGACTTAGACATACCAAGTGGAATATGCAATAAAGTTTAGGTAATATGTAAACAGTAAAATAATGCATTTTAAACCTAAACAAAAAACATTTGCATTAAACGGACCTAACCAAACTATTAGTAAAGTGTATATATTCTGTGTATATAAGTAGTTGTTTATCACTGTCTAAGTATTTGTTTATCACTGTCTCAGGTGGACAGTGAAAGACATAAAGAATGTGCTTATTTGTTATAGCCTCATGTAATCTTTGTCTAGAATGATTAATTCAAGGAAGGCATATTTAATTATCTATGGCCAACAAAGAAAAATTTGTTGTATTTGTAGTTTGCTGTGATAACCTGCATCACGCATAAAACTGAATAGAGGAGGGCCCTGTCTTCAAATATCTCTAATATAATTCTGAATTTTCAATAAATATTTTAATTTCGTATAACAAAATAAGTTCTGCCGAATTAAGTTTACACTTCCAGAAAACACTACTCATTTAAAATAAATATCATACGAAATATAAATTAGATTATCCTTAGTTATACTTCATACTCATTAATAACCTAAAATGAGAAAAATTATTGTCCTCTCTGTCTCGCTGTTGTCTCTCTCCCTCTCCCTTTCTATCTCTCCACACTTGTCTATTCTACTTTATCCATATTCTTTTCGCTTTTTTGTTCTCTAATCTCTCATTTTTTCCTACTATCTTCTATTTTCTTTCTCTTTTGCTATCCATTTTCTCTTTATTTTTCTCTATGCATTTTTGTCTCTCTCTCTCTTTTTCTCTTTTAATTCCTTTTTTTTCAATATTTCTACCCATTTTTTATTCCCTCATAGGTTAATCATTAATAAATTTTTATATAAAATCTTAACGTTTGGTTCGATTCTTATTATTATTATTATTATTATTTGGTTCGATTATTGTTCCGGAAATTTTTTTTTTGTGTCTCCTTTATAAACCAAATGAATTTATTATTTTCATTAAATTGCAAAAACCGTTGTTATATATTCAGATTATTTATGGAATTATAAGAAAACAGTTATCAAAACAATACTTGATATAAATTTTTTGATTTCTATTGATGAGCTTCCTTTTGTTTTTAATATAATTGTGATAATAAAAAATACTCTCGGAATAAGAATTAATTAGCAAATATAATTTTATACATAATTAAAATAATAAGCCTAAGGGTATATTAACCTAAAGGTTAGTGCCGTAAATGGGTTATAAAACACAACACTTTGGTCGGGTGTTGGAACTATAAAATCACATTAATACTACATATGAGGGTCACTATTTATATTTTAAGTCTTCGTAACACTGATTATTGTCAGGTGTCACCTGGCTTTTGGTTACGAAAGTTTGGCCTGTTTCTTTAATTAAACACGACCTACCTTAGACTTAATGTCAAAAGAGCTTTGTGTTCGAGTGTTCGCGAAAAAATGGAATTAACGCGAGAGAGTTTTCATGCGATGATTTATTACGAATTTCGACGTGGATTATCAAGACAAGAATACATCGGTCAACTTACTTCCACATTTGGCAATGGAGCTCCATCTTTTGCCACAGTGAAATGCTGGTACAATGATTTTAATCATGGCCGCAATTCGCTCGCACAGTTTGGACGAAATTCGTGAAAGTCATCCAAAATCAGTTGTTGTGCCAGAAATCATTGATGCTGTGCAAAAACTGATAATGCAAGATCGCCATGCGACATACTATGAGGTTGAGGAAACCGGAGGTACTAGTTCCACCAGGATATATAAAATATTGCATGATCATTTAGCCGTGAGAAAGGTTTGTTCTTGTTGGATATCATCCCCCATTATTTGACAAAATCTCAAAAAGATGCTCGTGTCAATTGGTGCACACAAATGCTCAAGAAATACAATGGCGGTACTTCAAAGATGTATATAAGATTCTACGAGTTAGAGGTGACGAATCATGGATATTTGCATATGAGCCGAAACGTAAACAGCAGTCAATTGCATGGGTGTTTCAAGTTGAACCAAATCTAACAAAAGGCGTTCGAGGTCGAAACACTTCGAAACAAATGGGCGCTTGTTTTTTCAGGAAAACTGGTCATGTGGCAACTATACAGATACCACTACAGAAAAGTATAATGATTAATTTCAAATGGTATACAACCATTTGTTTATCGTAAGTCTTCAATAAGAAGACTCACTGCATTGTCTTTTCCATCATCGAGTGCTTACACATGTCGTCTAATAACAGACTACTCCCATTTGAATATTCCAAAAATCGAATTGATGGATAATCTTCCGTACAGTCGTGATTTACCACCCAATGACTTCGTATTGTTCCCGACCGTCAAGAGTTAATTAAGTGGAGAACGATTTTTGTCGGCGAAAGAAGCCGCTGTTGCTTTTAAAAACCAATTTTTGGAGATGTCTGAAGAAGATTGCAAAAAATGCTTTGACAAATGGTTCTAACGCGTGCAAAAGTGTATTTATCATAAAGAAGAACACTTTCTAAAACAATAAATCAATGTTCAATTAACAGTTTAAAATTTTTTATTATTACGCTCAAAATATAAGTAGTAACCCTCGTAATCCAATTTAATTCAAGCACAAGTTAAATTCAAGCCATAATTTTTATTTCTATTTTTTTCACAAAGTTCATGTGGTAACATTGGTAATTCTTCACTGATGCCTTTAACCATTTCCTCAAAGCTTGACTGTGGAAAATTCTTTATATTACCCTAAGTCTATTGACAAAAAAAATTTTTTATTAATTTCTACTACGGTATCCAAATTTAGTTCTTGGTGAGACATAGTTTTAATTATCTTCGAAATGATATTTGTAAAGACAAAAATCATTAAACTGATAACTAAAAGCAATAGAGAAGGGAAAATTAACGAATTTTAAGGTGAAAAAAGAAAGAAGTAGAAAGACGTGAGAACGAAGAGCTTGAAAAGCTTGGCGACAGGAATATGGCTCCTGCAAGAATGAAAATGGTTATCTAGTGAAAAATATCCAAAACATGCTTAACATTTATAGAGATCACTTCACGAACCTACTAAGTGGCGGTAGTAGTGATGTGACTAAAAGCGAAGAAGATCCAGAATTAATCATCCCGCCTCCCGAACATAAGAAGCTTAAACAGCTATAATGCGGCTCAAAAGCAACAAAGCTACAGGCGCCAATGGTTTACCGGCTGAGTGGTTTAATGCTGGTGGTGTGAAAGTATTTGTTTGTTTGAGATCCAGCGTAAGCACCAAAAATGACGTCAGCCTAGAGATTTAACGAAGAGCCACAGACTTACTTCGAGCTAAATAAGCAATTAAGAAATAAAACCGTCTCTTGTCAAATAAAAATCAATTACTAATAGTGATGTGAAGGCACTTGACATCACTATCTCTTACATGTCGGCGACGAGCATCGAATTAGATGAAACAATATGCTGTATGAGCTATACCACGACATTAACATATTTAAGCGCAAAAAACTTTATAGGCTTCGCTGTATAGGTCAGGTCGCCCAAATGGAAGAAAGTGATCCAGCTAGAAAGGTGTTTGACTCAGTACCAGCTTATGGAAAACACTGTAGATAATAATTTGGAGATGCTCGGTACTACCAACTGGCACAGCAAGCCAATGATCAAGCTGGTTGGCGGAGACTATTCGACGAGACCAAGGACAGGTCACGACTGTAATCGCCAACTAAGTAAGTAAGTACATTAGTCATTAATTATAATTATACAAAGTTAAAGCGATACTTTCATCAAAAAAAATTTTTTTTTTTTATTAACTACACAAACTATATACGAAAATAGTTTCTTTTCAAATGAAATTCTTTCGATGAAATCATTAACACATTTCGATGTAATTTGAACATAAATTTCGACTATTTCTAAATAAAGTTCAATTTGTAAAAAACTTCCATAGACCGTTTGATTAAATTTTTATGAAATCGCAAAATGTTATCATCCAATACCGTTAAATTCTTTGTACGCAGATCTACTGGGTCCCGATAATGTTGTAATTGAGCGAGAATGGAATTTATGTGCAGTGGACCACAACCCAACCATTTGAGGCAGTGATGACGGTGTAGCGTTACAGCATAATTTGTATTATGTAAACATTTGGTGCCGAAACCAACGTCCAAGTGTTTTTCGAATCTCCGTACATGTTGTAGCATATGAAAGTATTTCGGAATAATTGAATCAGTTTTTTCTTTTACAAATTTTGGAAAATAAGTGTTTTGAAAGCATAGACTCACATGAGTTTGGCAACCTGGACGCTTATGCTCTTCAGCATATTCAACAATATCATACCATGATGTCCAATTACCCAGTGGCATGATCACTTCATTCAAATCAATACAAGCCACATAATCATATTTATATAAATTTCTATAAAAGCAATCGTTGTATGGCAACAGTTCGTTCAACACCTTATTAAGATAGTGATGCTTCATAATATAACGCAAAATATAAGGAAACACTGGTTCACCACGCGCATAGGAATGAGGATATACCCTTAAGAAACCTTGTTCCTTATAATAATCTATTACTTTGGTAACATTCGGATGTACTGTTATTGAGTAAGCAATTACTTCTTGAGCACCAAGTATGCGCATCATTTCCATCCATTCTACCAAGCGTGCGGATATATCAACAAATGGAAACACCAAATTCTTCAAACAAACAGCAAAACCACCTTTCGTGATATTTCGTGTTGGTGGTTCATATATAACTTTCAAGTGATTTGTAGCTCTTTCGCATTCCTCAGCAACAATGGATACAC